GGGGGGGGGGGGGGGGGGGGGGGGGGGGAGCCAGTAATTTTACTACGTGGCTATATATCTGGTCTTGTTTGTATTAAGTTATACATGATCATCTCTGATTTGGGCTCAGTCAGTCACTTAGAAGAACATTTGACACTGATTTTTCCCGTCTCACTAAATGGTAAGACTGGGGAAGCCCGTCATAACTGGAGATGGGACCAGTGTCGATGCTCCTAAATGCAGCTTTTACCTACTACTTGATATCAAATAATATGCTCACCTGTCCATAGTAGCGAGATGAGATTTTAAGTCAAAGAACACTCCTATCAAGTAGCATTTGGAGAAGGTTTTTCACACTTCAACAAATCCTCTTAATGACCCCTATTTAGTCAGCAGGCTAAAATTGCGGTTTCGCTCCACACCAATGCCTCCTTCAGAAATCCTCTTCCTGCGGCTACACGAGACGCGCCGACAGATCAGGCCAGGCGGCTCTGCTCCTCCTGGTCCGCGGGCCCGCAGCTCTATGGGTGCCGCTGTACCTGAAACGCGACATGTTACACTTTTGTCCAAAGGATGACCTTGGTTGTGCCTCAAAGCTGAAATCGTTTGACAGAATCCCGAGCAGCCAGATCCTGGAGCGGCCCGCCGGTCCCTATGTTCTGGCATAATGCCGCACCTTAGGGGCACCTGAGCAGTGGGAGAGGTCGCTCAGCTACCTGGGTATGTACACCTACATACAGAGACTCTGTCTGTAACATTGCTGCTCATCATAAACGAGGCCAAAACGTTGTATGGTTATATGGCAGTGCATCTGTTCTCTCTTCACTCTCCATTCTGTCAGCTGCGGCCACACCCTGATTCAGGTGACTTACTCTTATTTGAAGTTTGCCAATATCACCAAAAATATTCTGCGAATAATGAATCCATTTCCACTGCTGCCGTCTTATCATAATGCTGCTGATTATGCCCTCTGGTGGTGGTGCCGGGGTATTGCTGTTCCTTGTTATGTAAATACACAACAAATGGCACCCAGGGGTCGCCTTGAGTGGGGACAGACCGCACGGTACAGCAGGGTGATTTCCAGCTGCAGAGATCCCCGGCACCCACATCACTTTCTGTGGTTACATATTAAACACTTTCAGTGTCACACTGGCAGTATCATAGAATTCAGTTTTTATGATGTTGGAAGTATCATTATTACTATTATTGCTGTTTAGCAGATGTTTTATCCAAAGCAACTTACACCGGTTACAGTTATATCCCTTTATACACATTAATCATTATTATTTCAAACTGAAACTTCAGGTTATTCGAATTGCGCAATAGCACTGCTCTTCCTGCAACTCCACCGAACATCCGTGTCCCGCATGCCGCCACCTCGCTTACCGGCCGCGGCATTCGCACGCCTGCAGGAACCCGCTAGTGCTGACAGCCCATTACCATCAAGCTCTAGTCCATCTTTTTATACAGAAATATTATTTTGTTACGACAAATGCCTCTTCTGTGATCCTGTCAAAGTGGTTAATAACACTACACTGTGTGGTAAACAGGAGATAGTAGGAAGAGTGATTAAAAATACAATTGAATAAATAATAAAAAAAAGACAAATGGATGTTATCAGACTCTAAGCCCATTGGGCTGTTTCGGGCCTTAGCCTGAGCACTTAGAAAGTCGGAGCCATTGGTAGCTTTTGCAGTCTGTCCTGTACATTCACGAGAAAAGGGGAGAGGAGTTTGCTGTGTTTAATTACCACACTGAAAACCGACATTCTCTTGCTCACCCAGTCAAACTAAAGGCAGCCTCCACAAAGGGAGACCCACCCATTCAGTTTAGGCTCTTCTGGCTGGCGGGGAGCCAGGAGCTGGGCCAGAGGACAGGGAGTCTTTCAAAGCCTTGCTTGTTTAGGACGAGCATTCGGCCGTGCCTGCGCTGAGCGAGGGGGTGCTGGAGTGGAGGTGCGCGCATTCAGCTTCGGCGATGCCGGGGGGGCGGTGAGGAGGACGAGGGTGGGCTGGAGAGATGGACGGGGGTCAGGGGTCACTTGTTGCAGGGGCTGTTCCTCAGATTGTTGAGCTCGAGCTCCAGCTGGCGGATTTTAACGTCCTTCTGCATGAGCTCGTCCTTGAGGCGCCGCAGCTCGTCCTGCTGCCTGAAGAACATCCGCAGGAGCTGCCAACAGCAAGAGCGGCACAGAGCAGAATCACACGCCGCCCCGCCGTGACGGCAGCACTACACGGGCGACTGTGCACGGGGGGCCGCGATCTGCCAGGACGTGTGACCATTACCTCACCCGGCTTTGTCTTCACACACACACACTCACATAATCAGAGGTATCTATTAGGTATCTATATCTTTGTGGGGACTCTCTATTAATTTCTATGGGCATAACCTTAATCCAAACAATGACAACCTTAACCCCTACTGAGCCATAACCTTAATCATAAGTATCCAAACAAAATACTTTTGGCATTTTTAGTTTTTTGATTGCAGATTTTTATAAATTTGAATTTCCCCTTGTGGGGAGCATAAAAAATAATCCCCACAACGTAAAAATAACAGGCTTTTATCACATTATGGGGACATTTAGTCCCCACAATTTAATTTATATCTGACCCACCCAAACACACGGGCACACTATCTGACATGTGGCACTCTCTCTCTCTCTCTCTCTCTCTCACAGACACACACACACACATGCAAAAACACGCACACAGACCTCGTTCTCTGTCCTGGGTGGCACATTCTCCAGCAGGTCGATGCCGTTGACCACCACGCTCTTCTTCTCCTTCACGGGAGCCTTGAAAACCAGCTGGCTGGGTCTCCGGTATCCCTCCTTCAGGGACATGAGCACTGGATCTGCACCCACACAAAAAAATGCAGTTCAGCCATTTAGTGCCATAGCATAAGTTAGCCTAGCCAAGCTGTGCTGAGCGTAGCCTTAGGTGAGCCTAGTCTAACAGATGCTGCAGCTCAGCCGTTTGGTGTCTTAGCCTAGCTTAGCCGTGCTAAGCTTAGCCTAGATGAGCCTAGCCTAACAGATGCTGCAGCTCAGCCGTTTGGTGTCTTAGCCTAGCTTAGCCGTGCTAAGCTTAGCCTAGATGAGCCTAGCCTAACAGGTGCTGCAGCTCAGCCATTTGGTGTCATAGCCTAGGTTAGCCTAGTCTAGCCTCGCTTAGCATAGCTTAGGTGAGCCTAGCCTAACAGCTGCAGCTTGGTTTCACTTTTCATATAAATCTTTCATGCCACATGAACATTCTCATTGAAATTTGAGCATTAAACAGGCAAAACTCTGGGCCCTGTTTGGGGCATGAACCAATAACCACTCAGTCTCAAGTAATATGCTGACTGCTGAAGTCTTGGGAGGGAAGGGGGTCGTCGGCACCTCGGTCGATCCCGCTGAGCCACTCGTCAGCTGTGAGGGCGGGTTCTGTCCCTGCCGTCATGGGGTAGATATCTTCTTGGTATGTCTCCGACTGGGGGGATATGAATCGGGCACTGTGAGCTGCACAGCAAATCCGATCTGCACAGCCTGACTGTTAAACCCTAGGCCCTGTTTTAATGAATTTGTAGTATTATTTGTGCAATGTTTAAACAATCTTCTCATTTTGTGGAAAAATGGCTGATCTCAGAAACAGCATTGCCACTGCAGGTAGGTGTGTGTTGAGGGAGGCCTGTAAGTATGTGTTCATTTCTAAAGAGAATGAAAACAGGATACAATTCAGCGTTTTGTCTGAAGAGAAGAGCTCCGCAGTCTGCATTCCTGAACAGGCATCAGTCCACGGACAGGAAAGTCTGCTACAGTCGCTGCACCTTAAACAGCCCATTACATTCAGATTGGAAGCTGTGAAATTCATGCAAATGGACAACTACGCTGTGATTTTCCAGAGCTGAATAAATGTTGTCTCACAAGGAAGTTCTAATTTGTACCTTGGTGGTAACTAGAGCAAGGCACCTTCTGGGACACCTACAGGTTATCTGTGTGCTTAACCGCTTTGATATTTGCTGCCTGTTCCAGTCGTACATTTAGTTATATAAACCTGGCGGCAAGTTCCAAGGATGCGCTGCCAGGACGCTGATTATTCAGGTTGGCGCTTGCCTGCCAGCTAGCCCCCCCCCCCCCCCCCCACAGGGACCGCGGGCAATTTGATAAATCACCTCCCAGCAGTTACGCCGAAAGAGCGGCTCTTTCAGTGTATCACATAAGCTGAAAGGCTGCAGCATGGGCACTGTAGGAATGAGCCGGAATGCTGTGGGCATGATGCAAGGTGCTACTCACCCTCCTCGGGACGATCATTGAAATAGGCTCGATGAGACCCTTCAGTGTCACCAGCTTGTAGAATCGGAAGACTTCACAGGCCCCCACGTCCAGCCCATGTTTTGGCATCACACCTTAAAAAAGGAGGGGGGGGGTGATCGGTATCACCACAGGAAATCATTATAGGAGATGATTTTTGGTATCGATGCTCGGTGTCGCTATGGGAGGTGATGCTCGGTGTCGCTATGGGAGGTGATGCTCGGTGTCGCTATGGGAGGTGATGCTCGGTGTCTCTATGGGAGG